CGTGGATTCGTGGTACTGAAAGATTTTCATAAAAGCCTCTCCCCTTCTTCATCAGCATCTAGGTTCTGTGTTTTGACATGTCTTTGCAATGCAGATTGCCGAGCAAGCTCTTCACTTCTTCGTGTGTCCACTATCATTTTCTCTCTCTTAAACTCAGGTACTTTCTGGAAATCCAGGGTCCTATTTCTGGAATTAGGCGTCTAGTCCAGTCTAGCCCTGGCAGTTTCCCTCCTCTCTGTCTCTCACATCTCTCTCTAGCTAGAAGCTCGATTGATGGCAGGCCAGCAATTATTTTACCTTTTTCTCGGATGATTGTCCTGGCCGAGCTGCAGATCCTTTATAGTCTATCATAAAACGACGGTTTTACCAAATCTTTTTATACGAATAAATAAAAAATAATTATTTGCAGGAACTCTAAGTTTTACAAGTTACAAAAGTTTAATAAAGTATATTATATATAGATTGTATAGAAGTTTGTTTATTTTTAAACTTCATTAATGTTTTTTTATTGTCTAATGTATTTTCCATAAATACAGATAAAAAAAATAATTAAATCAAAATAAATGTATTATAACAATAATTTTTTTAAGTGTTAAAAGATATGAATCTAACTCTTACTTTTTTTATGTCGTATAATTTTATTCACAATTGTTCATCAATGTGAACATTGAGTAAATTTAAGATCGCGGTTAACATTAAATGGATAATCTTTCCCAGTGGATAGTTACCACTATGATGATTTGATTTTTTAATTTGTTGGTTGGTTGTCGTCTTGTATGTTAACTTCAGTAGTATATTGATGCACTGCGATTCCACTATTTCCTTTGACTGTCAATCTGTTGCTATCCTTAACACTACCATTGTCCATCGACTTGGCTGAAGGTCCATATGCTGAACCTCATTCATTTGACTGTTCATCTGTGATGAACGATGGCCCTATTGCTGCAAGCACCGAGAAGGCTCACAAAGGGCCTGGCTTGACCAGGATTCGAAACGGCGCCTATGTCCTTTAAAATTAATTTGATCAATATTCTAGTATTAACAGTATAACATTTATACTTATTTCAATTTGCCAAAAACTACATAGAGAAAGCAGGTTTATTTAATTAATGTTAAAATAATATACTTTGGTTAATTTGTCTTACAATATAATCATAAGTTCTTATACATCTTGTACAAAGTACCATAACGCATTTGACTACAAGCAAATTTTTTATCTTAAACAACACGGAATTCGATAACTAACGCAATCTTATGAGAGAAAATTGATATCGTATCCTTGAGACTCTGAAGGATAATGTGAGTAACTTATTAGGACAGTTCGTGTGATGGAGATCCTATAAAAGTAGAATTTGTCTATAGAAGTAACGTAAAAATAGATAAAATGAAAAATTATACAGATATGCAGATCAATGAATGAGATACAAAAGTTCAAAATTATGAATCAGATAAAATTTCTTGAATAGTGTGAAGCAGATAAAAAAATAGTGTTCAAGAGTTGTGCTGTTAATGGACTAACTTTTAAATAATTTTGTTATTAAGAACAGCTTCCGTCAGTATGGAAATGCAAGCAAAATGAGGAATTACTGGTTGGGAAAGATTTATACTATATATTCTACAAGTAACTTGAAGTCACGTGTTTTCAGTTTCAAATTCATCTGAAAGGCAAGTAAGTAACATGTTTTCATAGTTATTTAATATATTAATGGTTTTAATTAATAAACGCCATGAATAATACTAATCAGTTTGTATAAAAGGCTTTGTAAATAATTTCGTATACGTTAACTTAAACGTATTATAAATATGCATAGGACGTAACAAAAAGAGCGTAAAAGTATCTTTTGAATGCACGGCGATCGGTGTTTGGGTTTAAAGGAAAATGCAAAGGAAATAAAAGCATAACTGAAAACTACCAGGAAGTGCATTCTGTAAAGGAGACAGGAAATTCCGGCTGCGGCTAAAAGAGGCTGCTGCTGCTGCGCTGCCGCTGATAAAGTCTTGTTGTGATGTGTCTGTGACGCGGCGTCGGTGGCGGCTGTGGAGGCGGCGGCGGCGCGCGCCATCCTTTCAATATCGATTTCCGCGGGCGTATGTTGACCCAAACCGGTACAAATAAATACAAGGATCTGCAGAACCAAACAAGTGTGGCGGCCGTGCGTTCCGACCCATCCGAGGTGTCATCTGATGTAACAAACTGCAGTAAAGATGACATCGGCCGAAGGAGTCGCAGCAGACAATCAACTGACGCCTCAGACGCCCGTCCTGACGGTGGCCTGCAGGATCCTGAGATCGCCGTCCCACGAGAGCGTCACCACAGATTTATCACTGTTCTCGGTATCAACTGTGGCCTCCGACGTCCACGCAGGAAGGAGGCTTCTCAGCTTCAGCAAGAGTGACCAATTCGTCAGAGGTAACAGTCCAAATCCCGATACCAGAGCTGTCAGCAATAGGTGAGCTACATCGTTTTCATTAAACTACAAATGGCGCATTTGTTTGGATCATTGCAGTTAATGCATTTTTTTTTTGTATTTGCATCATAGCTCTATAATTTATCTCATAACCGGATATAACTTGTCACATAACAAATAATGCAGATAAACGATATTTATTGTGACATTTTAATTTGCTTTCAATGGAGCGAACAATTAATCCCGCATTCAAAGGATAATTTTGAATTAAAACTTTACACAATGCGCACAAAGGATGAAATTTCCGACGCTAATGGTCGGTCGAAAATTTCAGATCGGAACTAATGAGCCACGTGTTTGTTTCAAAGAAACAACAGCTGAAGAGTTTTTTTTACGGAACAAAGCATTATTGACGTTCTTTCTAAAGCAGCAAATATGGCTTTATTAGAACATATGATTAAACCATTTTTCTCATTCAAGCATTTAACAACTTATAAGATTTATAGTTCACATTATTGATTATTACTTTTCGATCAGATTAGGAAAATAGATGACTATTAAATAATGAATGATTAGTATTATCTTCTATTTATACTTTTTTGCTATCTATACTTATATATAGTCGTGCCTCGATTAACGAAGGAAAATCTGTAGCCAAAATGAGGATACGTTTCTTCGTAAAAAAAGTATATAATCCGCTATAATCACATATTTTATTGATCATTTGAAAATCTATAGTCTGCAAATTCATGTACAAAAATTGCAAGAAAAAAGTCATAATCAATGCATTTGCATCAATATTTGAATTGATACAAATTGCTATCATTTTAATACAGTTTATTAAAAATAGATCAAGAACAGAGTTTAATGAATATCATAAAACTCATTCAAATAATAAATTATTACGAATTCAACAATATTTTTTGGCCAAATGTAAATAATAAAAATAAATCTTAATATCTTTCGTCCCTAAAAATGATGATTATTAAAATGAACAAAAAGCTGGAAAAGAAAGATACAGAAACGAAATGAAATAACGTGTACAAAAAGATAGTTGAAATACGGTCAACTCTTGAGAACATTTTAAATTGTTAAATATATATAAGAATATATTGGAAACTTGGACAAAAGATTAATATTTCCAGCTGATTGAGTTTCTTTTTTTATGGAAATTAATCTTTGTTACTAGGCTGATACATATTTTGTTTTATCACTTTCAATACTTTTGTAAAACTTTGTTGAACACTGTAACGTTATTAAACTCTTGTTTATTAATCCGGTTTCAAATAGACTAGGAAAGAGGTTCCCACAAGGGTTTGTTGGTACAATTATATAGAATATTCTACTTTTTTTAAGTTTCTGTGTTGAGGATGCAAGTTGCGCTAATGATCTTTTATAAAAGATGATACTTTAAGAATAAGTTTATAAATATATTGTTTTTGTTTCTACAAATTCAGTTTTCGCTCTAGGAACAAAAAAACTGTTAAGAATCACCTTAATGAATTGTGTATTTTGTTGTAGACCAGCGGATATACCAGAGATTCTCTGGTTCGAGGAAGAGACTGATCTGATCCGCAGCTGCGCGGCACTCTGCTCGGCCGCCGGTCTTCAGAAGAGCTTCAGCACAAGCGACATCAGCCAGTTGCCGTCTCCGGACGAGACACCCGGTGCTACACCTGGTATCAGGTGTGTCTCGGAGCTGGCGCTGAACAATCTTCAGAGGTCGGGATTCCTGCTCGAGAACAGCAGGTTGGACCACACGTCCAGATCCTGCTCGACCTGGGTGGCCGTCGGCGACATAGCTTCCACATCGCAACTGCCGTCGCCGCACGGCGGTACCTCCGTGGCTGCAACCGCTACAGCTTCTCAGTCGACCGCGCCGCCTCCGCCAGTCTTTACCGCCGCCGATTTCATACGATCGGTCAACAAAAAGGTACATCTTATCATCGCATGAAAGATAATTACTTGTTTGCTCAATCGACCATTGCTGGTACCTTCAGTTTAGCAAGTAATAACAATACTTGATCTTCAATTTGTCGATTAACATCAATCATATTTCAACTCTGAATAAATAACTTGAATTATGATTTTTGTGCGAAATCTTTGAGATGTTGATGTTTGTTGGTCCAGAATTATTCTAAGTTGGGTCAAAGCCGGTACAAAAAAAAACATTCAATTCTCTGTAGTTATATACAGTTATAAGTTTATAAGAAATCACCAATTCTACAGAAATAACATATAGCTCATTAGTAGGAAGTCTGAACAATGTCTTTTTTGAATGTGATAGTCATCGCTAACAACTACACGAATTGTGAAATTCTACTTTGATTTTGCAAGAAAACGGTGATTTCTCTATGAAGATGTATTAAAAATTATTAATGCAATATTATGTATGCAACAGCCTTTGCATTCCCTTGACATACAGTTAGTCTTTAAATCGAACAGTACCTGTTGTAGCAATGTCAATATTTACCAAAACAAGCATATCTTACTGCTATATTCAGGAATGCATTAATGTTGCAGTGGGCCCTATACGCCATTTCACTATAATATAAAATCTGAGTGACATTCAAATAACTTATTAAATAACCATAACGTATTTTTAGTCCGTTTATTAAATCGATAAATTCACCTATTTATATTCACATGTCTGAACGAATTATTAATAGTGAAATTATTATACTCATGCTACATAATAATAATGTTTTTTTTTTTTAATTAGCTTAAGATATATTTTTATACAATTTAATAATATGGTAATTATTTGAATTAGTTGAAAAATTAAATATACAAAAAATAAATTTTAGAGTACTAAATAATTTATTTAACTAAAACTAGGCTTTCATTTATATTTCAGTACTTTTATACGAGTTTGAATATGTACATTCTCAAATGATCTTATTTTATATTGATTATATGAAAAGTATCTAAAAAAGAAATAAATTATAAAATCAAGAAAAAGAAATGTTGAACAATAAAATGAGTAGGCTTAAATTTACATTTCAGAACTTTTTATCAAATGTTTTTAAATTTTTATAACTTAAATGTCCTTATATAAATTCTAAGAAAACCTATTTTAAAAATGATATTTCAGTGAAACCTCGCTTAACGAATTTTTTACCTGTTTTATCTTAATTCTAAGAAAAAAAAAAAATTATTATTAATTCTAAGAAAAAGATATATTAAAAAAGAACTAACTATTTATAGTTCGTAAATATATATTTTTTATATAGATTTTTTTTATTGTAATTTATTAGCACACAACTGGGAGATAAAGTAAAACTGAAGACTTATTATTTCAAATAATTGTTTGAAAACTTGTTTTTTTTTTCTATTTTGATTTGATTTGTTATTATTTATCAATGTTGTTCAAATAATTTGAAGAAAGAGAATAAGACAACTTCATTTTTTTCCTATAATAACCTCGATGGAAAACTTTGCAAAATATTGAGTTTCTACTTAAGATTTGGTATATGTTTTTCCTAAACTATTGCATTATATGAAACATTTTGATACTGTGTACAATTGAAAGTTTCACCAAAATGTTCAGTCATCTATCTGAAAAATTAGTTACATGATGTACATAGATCCACTGTAGTTGATTTGCTACCAAGAGTATCTGCAATAGAAAAGGTTTTCAAAACATATCTTATTTTCTGTTTCCCTAAATCAGTGTTCAGATGTTCAGATGAAAACCTGGAATGAAATAGTTACTAAATAAGTAATGAATGTTTTTTTTACTTATTGTACAAAGTAAACAAGGTGTTCCGTCAAAAATCGGGATTTACCAAGTGTTCCGTTGCAGGAAAAGTTTGGGAGACTATGATCTAAATTATGCTAACATTCTATGTCGTTTTTTAATAATTTCCAATGTCTTGTTTCAGGTGAGACAGAACTACATCAGAAGGAGGCTTCTGATGACATACAAAGCTTTGGAGCGTCTTTCGCAGAGCGAATTCAACCTCGATCGCATCGAAGTGACACCGTCAACGGCTGCAGCGAGCGTCAGCAACGCCGAGTGCCAGAACACCGTGAACACTGGCCCCGTCCGTCTGACGGTGCCTGGAACCTCACCGGTGGCGAAGACGTCGCCCATCAGTAGCGCCAACGCTGCAGTCCTCAGGGTCGTCAAGCAGAGGGCCAACCAGAACCTACCGCTCACTCTCAGAGACATCGAAAGGGAACGCGGCAAACCTCTTTCCAAGTACGAAAGAAACATGATGATCTTCAACTGGCTGCACACGCTGGACGAGACGGCCGTCGTCGAAGGCATCCCATGAATGTTTACTTAACTAACTCCTTAAGATCGCTCACTGCTCGTTGGTGCTACTGGTTATTACGTTGACTTTTTCCTCCAAACGGTTTCCGCGATACATTCGAGTTCGTTGTTCGCAATATCCGGAAGCCTCATCAAAGAACAGATCTGCTTTCTCGTTATACATATAAATAATATATATATTATAAATAAATTGATTGATTGATCTAATAAAAATAAGTATAAACATCTAATATATAAAGAAAACCATATCTAGCGTTACCAGATCTTCGGATCGCTATAGACCAACAAACTAGTACTCTCATTATTCTTCAGTTTCTTTTATGTCTGTGGTAAAATACTTGATCCGTCTGGTAACTCTAAACAATCTCTCGTGTAGATATACAAAATATATCACAGAAAATTAATTGAAAATATTGTTGTTGAGTTTCGCTTAGAGAAACAATAAAATAAACAAAAAGTTAAAAAAATATATATAAATAATTATTTATAAATAATAAAACGAAACCTTTTTAATATGCTTTTATTGCTATAAAATCTATCCCTCTTTTCATTTAATTCCAGTTAGAACTCATATAATGCGTTGATGTTGTGGTCTGTACCAGAGGCGATCAACTTGTTCGTGAAATCATCATTTTACTTAAAGAGATTAAAAAGTGATTTCGATCCACTTGATTTATTTAAATGAAGTTTTTGTTTCACTTTACTTTCGTCATATTTGAAATAATCAGTTTTTACAATTGTTTGCGATCGACTAAGAATTGATTCTCATCGATTGACGCGTTAACTCATGGCGAAAATTGATATATTAATATAGACCAATGTTAGTCGAAGCGTGGATATTAAATATTAGTATTATCTATGTTTATTTTAACTTATTTTTGGCTTTAAATTACTACTTTTTTATGATCACTTAACACCTACGATATTGGTATACCGCCGCCTATAATTTAAAAAAGCAGGTCATCTGTAGTAATCAAAAGTTTGTCCACCCCTACTCTATAGTATAGACTTTATAGAATTTTGCATATTTTTAACAAAAAGACATTTATCAGATTTTAAATAAAAGAAACTATTACAAACTATTCTTAAATATATTGGGCCACTTTAGTTGCAGTTAATTAATTTACTATAATACTCAACTAAAAAATGTCATTATATCCTTGTAAAATATATAGTTCAAAATTAGGGCTAGGTGAAATATTTAAAAAAAAATATAAAATTTGCCTATTTTTGGTAGTTGCCTAAATTGGAGCGTAATCCAAGCATTTTAAATAGCTCCTAAAAACCCAATTCAGAATTAAATGATAAAGAGAACAACAAACACTATATGATTTTGTATTTCATTTGAAAAAGTGTGTGCTGAAAATAGTGGAGAAATTTTAATGAAGGAAACTAATATTAAGTCTGTATTATTTTAATTTAACTTTTTTAGCATTATGAATATATGGTCCAAATTATTAAGAGTACGTAGGAAAAGTTGCATAATTTTGTTTGAAAATTTAGTAGAATTAGAGATTATTTTCAACATATCCGAAAGACAAAGAGTATAATTCGGTATTAACATATAATGAAATTTAATATTTTCCCTGCAGACACTTGCGATAAAGTGAATTGAATTACTGCATAATGCATATGCACTTTGTGTACGTGATTTCAATTTGAATATAGAAATTAATATGTGCATAATGTAATTATTTGCGCTATCAATAAACGGTGTAACCTATTTGCCACGTGCCTCAACATATTTCATTGTAGTTTCTACAGCGTCAAAGGTAATTTGACAGCTGTCATTACGTGACCCAATTTTGAGTTGTGTCTCATAGCTTGAGAAACGCTGGTGTATGCTATATTAGATTAATTTTAGAATGAAAAAAGGGAATAGAATTTTATATTTTTAATTATTATTATTGTCGAAGTAGATTTATTAACAAATTTATTTGCTGTAAAACGTTTTCAAGAATTGCGAATTCCTTTTGTACGTACACGAACATCCCGCAGGTAACGAGTAGATATCCGGTTCAGGTAATCCATTGTTGGAGATGGAGAGGAGTCTTCTGTTCATGTATCTCTGTTTGCAGGAGGTGATGATGCCCTCGGGGAACTTGTCGGACATTGCGCAAGGCTTCTTCGGGCTCTTGCATATTTCGACCTTAACTGCTTGCACGTATTCCTTGTCATCCACGTTGATGATGTACTTCCAACTACCGTCAAGGGTTTTGCCCATCTGCGGATGGATGATCTTCGTGTACGATTTGCACATAAAGTTCTCCTCTTCATTGTTATCCGTTCGGCTCCAGGGCTCTGCGACGTTCTCCTCCAAACCGAAGAAATCTTTGTTGGCAAAGTTCTTCAGTATTTTGTTCACCGTTTCGTACGGATACGAAGGGACGTTTTCACAGTAGGTGCTTTCTCCCGAGCACCTGGAAACAGTATTCGGCGACTCAAATGCATTTTTCACTTTGAAACCTTTGACATTGTCGAGGATGCTTCTATGGCGATTGCCGATATTGATTGAAAAATTTGCTACTTTTCCTGTATGAGCGATAAAATTCTTTTGGAGCATCTCTCTTTGTGCTGTGGGAACTTCCTTAAGGAAATAATCACGATTATTGCTGTGCGGTGGAAGTTCAATATTATCTGAAAATGTATCAAGTTTTCTTGAACGAGTGACCGACTTTTGTTCTTCTGACGTGGGAACTTCGTCAGGGAAATAGATGCGATCATTGTTGTTCAATGGCAAGCTTTGGCGACGCACGGGTGGTGGTCCGTGATGAATAATATTAAAGATAGGTCCGGTCATAGCTTTCCTAGGTTTCATTGGTGCTTTATGTATCACACGCACTCGACCTGAAGATTCCCAAGTTTTTATGTTTATTGGCAAACAGTTAATCTGTAACAAAAAAAATGTAACATATTAAATACAATAATCGATTAAACAAAATCTTTGACAACTTTCCAAAATATGGCAATATTAACTGAATGCTTATGAAATTGATTAGATTGCAAGATAAAAAAAACTTACAATATTTTGGAAATAGCAAAAATACACTAATGAATATAGTTTTAGACTTACCATGGTGATTAAGATGTAGATGCTGAAGATGAAAAGACGCATGATTATTTCTTCTGTTACTCGAGAAAGAGATAAAAGCTAGTATTCACTACAAGATGAGAAACTAAACTGAATTTAGAATTACTTGTACCATCGAGAAGGGTAGAAATGGTTATTGAAGAGGAAGGGATATGTGCAATGAAATAGGAGTAGGGGTTGAATCGGTCAAAATACCCGGGGTTTTCCCAAATTACGTTTACTTGTGTTTTATTGCCCAAGCAGGTATAATTTTTGTACCTTTGTCGTTTCCTATATTTTCACTAGGAAATTCTCAGATCCTCGATATTTGTACTTTATTGTAAACTGGTAACTAAAGGAATCAGCGTTTAAAACCGAATGTGATGGTTGCCTAATTTAGACTTGTTCTGTCCAAATTTACATTTGGACTGTCTACTATATATAAATATTAAGTATATTCGTTGAGTTGTAACTTTTTCACATCAAAAATGGGGCATAATTTGTCAGAACAATTTTAATGCTGTGTTCGGGTTCCAATCCAATTTTCTTCTTTGATTTTCATTCTTGAAAATGTAGTTACTTTATGTGCAAGTTTAAAAGCATTTGCAGCGTTTGACAACAAAAAAATATGACAAATCTGGTTTGTTTTTAAATTCAAATGAAGAACTGTTTTTTTTTCTTAATATATTTTTAGTAGATTTGTTATTAATTAATTTTAACAATGTTGTTCAATTTGAAAATCTGATTTTTGTTGATAATAAATGAAATGTTTTGAAATGTAATGCAGTTCACAATATACATATATAAAGCAGAGAGTCGAACCAAAATTAATTTCGTTAAATGTTTATCGTTCCAGATTCGGTTTTGGTTCGTCTAAAAATTTCGGTTCAGTTGCGGTTGAAATTAAAATTTAAAATCGAAAAAAAAGAAATTTAAATTGGTTAGTTAAAATTTAAAATCTAGTCCAAGTAAAATTGAGTTTGTTCTAATGTTAGTTGCGCAAGACTTATGCTTGACCTTTCTTCTACATATTTATGAGAACTCAAGAATTATTCTGTTGTTAAGTTGATAAAATAATAAATTAGTAAACGAAATTGTAGTTTTATTTACATAAATCAGCATACAATATGTATGGTATGTTTTCGTGCGAAACAAATTGAAATATATTTATTTATATAAATTGAATATTTTGTTGATAAAATGCATATATCAATAAATTTAATTTCTTTTAAAATATGTCAAGAACTGGGGGTTCCTCTTGTACGAGCACGAGCATCCTGAAGGTAACGCGTAGATATCCGGTTCAGCTGACCCATTGTTCGAGATGGAAAGGAGTCTTCGGTTCATGTACTTCTGCTTGCACGTCGTGATGACGTCTCTGGGAAAGTTATGGGACATCTCGCACGGCTTCTTCGGATTCTTGCATATCTCGATCTTGATTGCCTGCACGTATTCCTGGTTCTCCAGATTGATGATGTACTTCCATTTGCCGTCCAGTGTTTTCCCAGACTGCGGCCGTATGACCTTCGTGTACGATTGACACATGAACTTTTCTTCGCCCTCGCCGTCCATTCGGTTCCACGGTTCCACCTCGTCCTCCTCCAAACCGAAGAAGTCCTTGCGAACGAGGTTCTTTAGCATTTTATTCACAGCCGCGTATGGATACGTGGGGACGCTCTCGCAGAAGTTGCCTTCGTGTGAGCATCGGGGAACAGCGTCCAAGACCTTCTCCTCATCTACTTTGATTTTGCTGTCGATGCTTTTATTGCGGCTATCGACCTTGTCTACAAAATTAAATTTAACATACGAATCCATAAGTTTTCGATTCTCACCAAAACCCGAACGGACGACAACAATCTTTTTGGGTTTTTCTTCTTCTGATATGTGCTGTTCATCTGGAAAATAGATGCGATCTTCGGCGTACGGCGGCAATACTTTGCGACGCGTCAGCGGAACGGATGGTTGCACCACGGGATGAGAAAAGTCTATACGAGGTCCGGTTATTCCTTTCCTAAGTTTCATTGGTGGTCTATGTAATACTCGCATTCGACTTGAAGAACCGCCAATATTTCTATTTGTTGGGGAACAATTAATCTAAAACAACAACATATTATCATACTAGCTACAAACTAACAAATATTAAGATAACTAAAAATATTGCTAATAATAACTTAAGCTGCATTCGTAACATATAACAAGTATTTTGTAATATGAACTTACCGTAGTCAAAAGGTAGTAAATGCTGAAGATGAAAATCCGCATCTTTCTTTCTTCTGCTACTCGAGAAAGCTTTTATACACGTCTTCACTGCAAAATGAGAAGCACAACTGAAAACACAATCATTTTCAACACGAGATATAAACAAGAACAGTGTGAATTTCGTTAATATTTAACATTTAGCAAAGTGGAAAGACACTTGCACTTTAGGAGTTAAATAAATTTGTGTATTTATTAATGTTATAATGAAGTATTTCACTTACCAGCAAATTCCATTAAAGTAAACTTATTATTTTAATAAATTTATAAATTGCTTTGCCAGTTACATATGTAGGTGAACGGTGATAATCATTTGGACCGAAGTCCTGGAAACCTGTGGCGTCCACAATTTCGAATCACAATTTGGCTGAATCGCAAATTGCAATTGGAATTGTTCAAATTGTTCGGCACGGCCTCTGGATCCCTTTTTTTTGGCACTTTTACTTCTCGTCAAACGGTCGTAATTCCCCGTCGAAAACCATGTGTCATTTTCATAAACAGCTGCGACGAAACTCTTGAGTATCGCAGAAGCGTGATTTCAATGCGAATTGTTGTCCGCTCGATTTCAGTAAAACAAACAAAAAAAACTGACGAGAAGGCTTCGACTACTTTTTGTACAAAACATATGAAAATACTGATAAAGCAATTTGCTTCGTACATTTTTATTTAATAATCGTTGTCATTGATAACATTACGATTTAAGGCCTAATTCAATACTTGTATTCTTGCAAAACTATTTTAATTTCATACTTATTTTTTATTTATGACTATTTATGTAATAATATAATTGTTGCAATATTTTTTTTTAATTTCGATATAAATCAATAGGAATTATTTAGGTATTGATAGATGTCAATGTCAAAAACACTTTAAAAAAGTAACAAAAATATCAGTTTATATCAATTTGACACATATTGTTTTGTAAACTGATTTTCATGCATTACAATAAGTACGTGGTAAATTATTCTAAACCATGATGTTCAAGGACTATTTTGGTATAAAGTTGCAAAACGAGATTTGAAATAAACCACAAAACATCAAGTTTTATTAATATGCCAGGATGTGATTTTCAAGTTATACAAAAGAATTTTATAAAAAAATGACAATATATATGAAATGCACAGAAAACGAATGAAATGCAATTGCATTTTGATGAATTTGCATTGCTATTATTCATTACAATCCACTTGCCTATAAATATAAATGTACGACGATGAGTTTCCCAATTTGCAGATGTGAAAGAAATGGCAGCGGTTGATAACATTGTAACAATTCCCGAGTTCTACCGTGGAAAGTCCGTTTTCGTGACGGGCGCAACGGGATTCATAGGGAAAGTGTTGATTGAGAAGCTGCTCAGAAGTTGTCCCGATATTGGGTATATCTACATTTTACTTCGCCCGAAGAGAAACGCTACTTTGGAGGATCGGATGAAAAAAATAACTGATATAATCGTAAATTGATTAATTAGTTACTAATATTTACATTTTAATTACTTCGTTCTAGCTGTTTGATAAAGTGAAGGAGTTGTATCCGGAGAATATAAAGAAACTGAAGTTCGTAGCCGGTGATGTTTCTGAAATAAATTTAGGTGAGATTCTTGTCGCGATTAATTCTTGATTTATTCACAGTGTTTTGTAGGATTATCGTCTGCTGATTACAATTTACTTGTGAAGAACGTCGATGTCATTTTCCACATAGCAGCTACTATTAAGTTCCAGGCTCCTTTGAGTGATTCTGTGTTGATAAACACTAGAGGAACGAGGGAGATCTGTAACCTGGCATTGGCCATTAAAAAAAAACCGGTAAAACTATATATAAATCTATAAAAAAAAAAATACTACACACTAAATGTAGATCTTAGTACATGTGTCCACGTCTTACTGCCATCACGAAAATAGATGCATAAAAGAAGAAATATACGAACCGTACGGTGATTGGAGAAAGACAATCAAAATTGCAGAAAGTATGGATAGACATATTCTAAATGTAATTACTGCTAAAATCAAGGGCATCAAGGAAAATACGTACATTTTTACTAAAGCTCTGGCTGAGCAAGTCGTGCAAGACCTCTGTGTGGGGAAGATTCCTACCATAATTCTGAGACCTGCAATAGGTTTGTATGAAATCATTATTCGGTTATTTTCATGAATAAGCTGTCATCATTTCAGTGGTCGGTGTTCTCGAGGATCCACTTCCCGGTTACTGTGAGGGTTTCTCCGGACATATAGGCATCTTGGTCGGAGCATTATCAGGTTTGATTTAAAAATTAAAGAGTTAACGTATTCTCAACTTATATGCCTTAGGCCTTATGCGATGCATTAACTTGAAGAAGTCGTACAGATCGGAATCGGTGCCGGTGGATTTCATTGCAAAAGGATTGATCAATTCCGTTTGGTTGAAAGGAACTGGACAAAGGTAAATGCATAATATATACAAACATATTTAATTCCATAATTTTCTCGCAATTTAGCGAACAGCCTGTAAGCATCTACAATGGGTCCAGCAACAACTCTGATGGATTGGAACAACGAAACCTTTGCGAAGCCAAAATTCAGCTTTCATGAAAATCAGAACGACCTACAGATGGTACCCGCACTTTCATTTAATTGAAACGTACCTCTTTTTCTGTCTGCACTTCATGATTTTCCAACTGTTGCCTTGCATTGTTGCAGATTTCATAATATATTTGAAGAAAGGACAACCATTGTAAGAGCAAATTTATCATCAGCAATAATCAAGTTTTCATCAACAATTTACTTTCAGCTTGATCAGCATTCAGAGGAAAATATTTATCAGTCTCTGCGTCGTCGAGTACTTCAAATCCAACGAATGGGAGATCGAAAATAAGAACTTTATATTTGCCGTTTTAGACGCACCGACCAAACATGAATTTATTATCGATCCGCAGGTCCACGAACACAATTTCATTGAAAAAAGCTTGGTTGAACATTTTAATTTCATCAACAAACATTATTTGAAACAGCAATTTACTGAACATCTGACGAGTCCCATAAAATTCGCGATGTAAGTTTCTCGTATCTAGATTTATTTCTTTTTTAATACTATTATTATTTTAGATTAAGAACAATTTACTATATAGTCCATATTATTGTTTATGCTACTATAGGATACGTGTTATATTCTGTTCTATATTGAACAGTTTAACGTTCGTCAAAATAAATACAATTTAAGTAATCCTATGTTTTGAATAACCAACAATATTCGATGAAATTTTCACACTAATCTTGCTGTTTGGGCTGTTCAATATTACGCCGATAATACTCATCATTCTCAGAATTTTTCCTTCACTTCGTGTTCCGCCTTTGCCAATATGTAACTTTTAAATATGATATAATTTGTGATGTCAGCATGTTATGAAGCATTTGACGTCCGTCTTCTTCCACCTCGTTTTATGTTAGAATATATCTTCAAGTGTATTGGTACATACAAGTACCATTAGACTTTGGTAATTGTAAATTTTCTTCAAGTTGTCTTTTCTAATTGAATGTGCAATGATAAATTCTCGATATTTTTCTAGAAGACTGCTGTTAGATGTAAAATTATTGAGAAATTATACTATACACCACTTAATGTGCTCGAATATAGTAAATAAATATGATGATACAACAAAAATCAAGTGGCCACAAATGTAAACACTATGCTAACGCATTAGAGAACTAAATAGTACCCAAATAAACCAAATACAATCTGAAATACCATTATTGTCTACATAAAACTGAGTGGTACATGGAGTAGCGAAAGGGTTAAACAATTTGCAACAATGATAAAATTTGAAGATACTTATATTTAACTAAATAGTAGATGAAACAAATTATTTGCAAATTTTATAAATATTTGGGGAAGTGTTGGTTATCTCTATAGTGGCAGATTAAGGATAATTGAGGTCCCTAGGCAGATTGTATTTCAGGGCCTCAACAAAATTATGATATTAAGACAGAAAAATGTCTTGGGTTGGGGGGCACCTAGACAAGTGTCTAATCTTTCACTGCATACAATGGTATAAATTACAAAAATAGCTGTTGCTCGATTGAATCGTAATTGCATTTAACATCCGTTATAATTAAGTTACAATAACATGTTTGTGTATTTCAGTGAACGCTCTCATAAATATAGCAGCAACTATCAAGTTCCAGGGTGAGTGAGTGATTCTATGTTAATAAATACTAGAGGAACGAAAGAGATCTTTCACCTGGCGTTAGCAATAAAAAATGATTTTAAAATTAATACGCAATAAACGAAGATCTTTGTATATGTTTTCACGTCATACTGCCATAATGAAAATCGTTACATAAAGGCAAAAATGTACGGCGCTTGAAGGAAAACAATCAAAATTGCAGAATATATAGATAGGAAACCTTTGTAAGCGAGTATCATAATTTACTGCAATCTCATAGTTAGGTATTGTCCTTTTAGTTTGGTCAGAGTCCAGAGGAATACATTTGCAAGTCAAATTGTATTTAAATACATTGGTAATAATGAATTGGACATGGAAAATAGTAAATTTGTCAATATCATAGCCGATGATAATTTCATAATCAAACAAGACGATCCAGAAATTTATGAAAGCATCATGACAAATTGCTTCAATTTCATGATTCAACATTATTTCAATCTGAAATTAACCAAAAGTCCCACGACGCCCACCAAATATATCATGTATATTATGTTAAATATATTTTTGTGTAATTTGCGGAATAAATTTGTTTCTCATATTAATTAATATATATCAGTAATTGATTTTTTTTTATTGTTCTCAATATTTTCTGTATCATATCAAATTATCAACGTTAATATATAAATAAAGACCTCAAACAACAACACACAAATTTAATCCGTGAGTAATTATTTTGTTATATCCATATGGAAAATTTCTCTCATAAGAAAATCACAAAGTCATGTTCAATACATACCATATTATATAAGTAATTAGCAGTCACAGTGAACAACAATAAATAAAAATACAATAAGAATAATTCATTAATTTAACATTATTGAAATAAAATAAAATTATTGCAAAGTTCAATTTTTTTTAAATAAGAGCTAAATAAGTAAAGTATTTTCCAGCGATTCGCTTAATATTTTGTCAGTAAGCAATTTCAAACGAAAAAACAAGCTTGTTGTACATTGATAATTCAGAATTGTGACCATGAAACCAATACATTATTCTGAACGCGATGTTGAGTTCATCACGTTTCTTCCTAATATGCTGTTTCCACCGAAGCTTATGGTTCATAACAAATAAATATACAGTGACAATATACGCAATATACGCAACAATACTTAAAATAAATTTTGTTCAAAAGCATTAAAAAAAAATGAAATTATCAAAAATAATGCAATAAGGATGTACTTCAATAGTAATTGATTAAAAGTCATTTAAAGAAAGACAATTTAATATTTGCTATCTAAATATATACAACTATGTTAATGTGTCTTCATGTTGACTGTTTTCAAAACAGTGAATTAAGTTAAGTAAAGGTTAAGCAGGTGATATATTTATTAAAATATCATTCAAGGTTCATTGTAGAATCGATACAAAATGATGTTTTAAATAAAACATTAAGAATACATGAAATACACAATCGATAAATAAAATAAAATATTTTCATGTTATGAATTTACAAAATAATTTTATAATAAAATAACAATATATATATGAAATGCACGGAAAACGAATGAATTTCAATTGCATTTTGATGAATTTGCATTGCAATTATTCAATACAATTCACTTGCCTATAAATATAAACGTACGACCATGAGTTTCGCAATTTGTAGATGTGAAAGAAATGGCAGCGGTTGATAACATTGTAACAATTCCCGAGTTCTACCGTGGAAAGTCCGTTTTCGTAACGGGCGCAACGGGGTTCATAGGGAAAGTGTTGGTTGAGAAGCTGCTCAGAAGTTGTCCCGATATAGGGTATATCTATATCTTACTTCGCCCGAAGAGAAACGCTACTTTGCAGGATCGGCTGAAAAAAATAACTAATACAATCGTAAATTGATTAATTAGTTACTAATATTTACATTAATTACTCCGTTCTAGCTGTTTGATAAAGTGAAGGAGTTGTATCCGGAGAATATAAAGAAACTGAAGTTCGTAGCGGGTGATGTTTCTGAAATAAATTTGGGTGAGATTCTTGTCGCGATTAATTCTTGATTTATTAACAGAGTTTTGCAGGATTATCGTC